GAAAAGCATGCCAAGAGAGTTCTGGGATAAATCCTGAAAGCTAGTTTGGTGTCCCCTATTCTGCTCCTCCCCCCAACCATCAAATCCTTCACTTTCTTATACTGTCTTCTAAACCAAAGACATCTTTTTGCAGAACAAGCACTTTCTGGATTCCTACAGGAAAAAACCTTTACGTAAACATCATACAACACAGAAGAAAAGATTAGGCAAAACTTTTTTTTTTATTTAATTATTAGCAGCTCCTCAGAGTAGACATTTTATCTTCCCATTGTATACCAAAAGCTCATGTATCACTCAGAATACTTTGCCTACATATATTTTTTTTTAAATTAATGTAAATAATTTTGAAGGTGTAGTGGACCCAATCCTGCTCCTTCTTACCTGAGTGGGAATTTTCTAATTGGCTTCATGCAAATAGAGGCAGGTTCCTCCCCACCCCTCGCTTATAAACTGCAGTTATTCTGTCTAGAAGAGTGGTACGATCTCATCCTGGATTCACTTAGTTTTGTCTTCTGCTAAAAAGCTCTAGCAAAATCTCTTCAGTATACGGGCAGTGTGTGTGCATGCTTGTGGTAACTATTATGTTTCCCATGTTTAGCCATGAGCAGTTAGTGAATACCACAAAATTTGTTTTACTAGATACTGTTCTACCAAAGAACTCACTGAAAACATATGTGCTTAGAATTTCACATGTAATACGGTATAAATGAAGTACGTCTAAATTTACCTTTTGATCCTCAATGTACTCGATATCCGCTGTATTATAGCCATCACGCTGGCTGTGCTGTATCACCTTAAATCTCCTCTTGCCAATGCTATCTACAACAGAGCGGCCATCAGCAAAGAATTCAACATTTCTTATCTCCAGAATGCAGCCATAATCTGCAAACCTATTGAAATCAGAACAAAAGCAAGTAAACAAGTCTTATTCTCTTCACCCTTAGTCCCACAGAACTGCCATACAGCCAGTCCCCACCACAAAGGTATTTACCAGTGTCAGCTCATTTCTATTGTTCATAGTACTGACCTGCTGTAGTTCAAATTATTCCACAATTGTTTTCAAAACTATCAGGAAGATTCAGGCTGTCTAATCTGATTAACACTAACTGCATGTTTTGGAATACAAGGAAAATCTCATGAAATTGAAAGTTATACACTTTCTCCGTAACCCTAATGTGGTCAGTCAATTTGTACAGAAGAGTAAGTGCAATTCAGAATATTAGAATTATGCAAAGACTATGAAAACTATAAAGAAAAAAAGTTCTCCCTCAATTTCAGCAGATTTTACTTTGTAGGTGTGCATTTTGTGTACATCATACTTTTTCTGGTGTATACATATCCTGCAGGTATACACCATAAAAAGAAGGGAGGAAAGCTAATAAACACAGAGACAAGGTCAAATTACCTAAGACTGACTGTAAATGCTTCAATGTCAATGCTCAGCCAGTCCTTATGAAGGTCCTGTTGTACCTCTGTGGCCTCCACTATATTCAGAACAGTGAGGATAGAAAGGTATCCACTAGCTTAGCTATTTCTTTTTGTAATTTAGAAAAAACTAAACACACCAACGCACCTTACTGCCATTTCAATTTGATTTCTTGTGCCAAAGCATTCAACAGATTTCAAAACAGTAGAAAATACAGTTCCTTTTCATGTATTACAAGAGGTCTGCAGCTCAACTTCATATATAATACACACTAGCTATGTGTGTTTCAAGAAAAATGGGTTTCAAGTCATATTAGTCAGAATCTAAGTGCTCAAGAGGGAAACTTCAGTCTTCTCAATGTCTTTAACTGGCACGATTAGGAAGAAATTTTCCTTGCTGGAAAATTACCACAGATATTACAGCCATGGACCCTTCTGCACCTCTCCAAAGGGACTTGCTCCAGACGAAGTGAGATACAACACATGGTCCGAGCACGCTGCTCACTCACCCCTTTACAGGGTCACTGATGCACATCCCAAATTGTTTGGTGCCAGTCTCCATGCACCTTCGAATCATCAGGCGGTAACATGGCTCAAAGATGTGCAAAGGGCATGGGACTGTAGGATAAGCCATTGTGCAGACAAATATAGGAACATTCTTATTTAGGCTGTAAGAAAGAAAGAAAGGAAAAATCAGGTATGACATTTTACCAAACTCTGACAAGGTATAAAATACATTTTAAGTTAGAACATATTATTTAAAATTATTATATCTTTAAATAGAAATTATAACATCTTTAGAATAAAATTCTTAACGGAGTAAGTAAAAACTAAGATTATCCTTCCCCTTCATTGACTAGATAATATGGAAAGTGATACACCACTTACTAGCAGAAGAATTTTTAGTTATGCTTTCTGGTTTTGCTAGTGAGATCATTAATGCATCTCTCTCATTGCTTTTATTCACTTTGGTTTCCTTAATCCCGTTTCTTCCCTACCCAGTACATTCCAACCCCCAGCCTGTGAGACTACTTCCACCTATTGGCTCACTCTGCGGCTTTCATGGAGAGTCCCCAAAAGCAACCACGCTGCTTTCTAAAGCAATCTTTTGTTTATAAAGCATCCTTCTGGATTTCTTCTGCTTCTGTTTATTGTTTAGCACAGCGTCCAGTTTTTATGCTAACTCAAAGCACAATTTCACCTGGAGCCTGTTCTCTTTGAAATCACACGATACCGAGAAAGAAGCTCCTTTGTCAGCATCTTAGCTCGTGCTCCAGAGCAGCAGGAGTCATTCATCAGCTAACAGCAGTAGTATTAAAGATTGGATTTTACATAAATGGATTACATACTTGGAAAGCTCTGCTATTTCCTCTTCATAAATCTTTCTTCTTTCAGTGAGTTCCTCTGGAAGATATCTTGCTATTAACTCCTCCATTAGTACTGTTTTACAGTATTTCCTCATAGCCAAGCACTGCAGCAAAAACACACGCAAGCAGTTACAGATAATACGCAGCATTGCAAAGTGTATGGTGCCTATGCACAAGGTAGTCATCCGTTAGCTCCATTCTCTTATGTCTATAGCAAATCAAAACCATCTTTTAAGCTTGCACTGCCACTGAACAGTTGTTTATTGAACGATATGGCATCATCCCTATGGCATCATCTTGGGAAATCTGGGAAGTAAAATCACTTACAGATTTTCAAAGTACAGGGCTGGCCCTCAGCTTTGAGAAGAAAAGACTATCCATGCTTTCTAAGTCACAAGAGCTTTTTAAAAGTCACATTTTTTCTTACGTTATGTAAGATTTATTTTGAGTTGGGAAATAGCAAAGGTTTCTGAAGGTGCTACTTGATTCTATCCCATGGTCTTGAATTTATGCCGAGAAAATCCAAGCTTCAATACCTCTGAGAGCCCTTCCTTGCACAGGGGACATTTTGGGTTGTGATCCAGGCATCTCTCAAGACATTTCAGACAGAAGGTGTGTCCACAGGGTGTAGTGACAGGTTCATAGAAGAGCCTGGATTGGAAAATCCGACAACAAAAAGACAACAATATCTTCTACCAAAGTTTAGGAAAAAGCTGCTACCAAAAAAGCTGTCTTCATTCACTAATTTAACTACTGACTACTCCAGGGATAAAGTTTTTCCTTGCTTTTCATTTCTTCAACCAACTTTTTTATTTATGCAGCTCGCAGACTTTCTTATTGCCACCTAACATGAAAGGCAGCCCATGAACTCCGATTTCAGTGAGGGTGAGAGAGAATATTGCCATTAACTTCCAACAAGCCAGGATTTAATTTCCCTCTATATGAGCAATAAATAGAAGCAGAAGTTGGACCATCTGACTTTTTCGAATGAAATTGAGCAATACTTGCACAACTATTACTGTGGAAATCATGTGATTACTTGTATGTGTAGAGCTAAGCACAAAATAGCTATTTGCGGTAATAGCCCACATAAGTGATTGCAATAAACTATTATGGCCAACTCTAATGTGGACTTGGAAAGGAGCATTGTTGGAATAGACAATTTTTAACCTTCAAATGACTGCTTTTCTGAAAAATGAGTGACATTAGGTTTGTGTTTCCTCTAGAAAATATTTAAATATTTAAGACCAGGTCTTCAAAGTATCATAGTACCTAATCTTTACCCATTCCAAGTACCTCTGTGACACTTATTTTCATGTAAGGATTTTTTACTGATTATGATTACGTGATACTGCAAAGCGATGTTTCCTTGCCAATAAGTACCTTAAGGAGATGTGAATAATATGGACTTTTTTTTTTTAATAGAAAACATTTGAAACTAGAAATTGTTTGGCGTATACTGTATTTTACAACATACTGTCTAAGCATTTTAAGGTCTCAAATATCCGTCTAATTATAATTTAAGTGAATGAATATGTTTACTTCAAAATATTACAGTTTATCAAAATAGTACACTAAGTTTTATTATACATGTGAAAACTATAAATATATAAACCCACATTTATTAGCATCTTTAACAAGATGAGTGTATTTAAGCACGTAATGGGCTCTTAACAAGATTGCCATAGCCAGTTTATTAAATGTCATTAGTTACTATAAATATTGACATTTAAGCAAAAGAACATATGAAGTAGTATCTAAAATACCACACCTATCTTACTGCAACTTGACTGAATAATTGAAAACCCTCATTAATTGTTTCATGAACAGAAACCTCACTGCACCTTATTGCTTTAAACTATGTAAAATACTGAGAATTCTACAATATGTTTCAGTAAGCACTGGTTTGCGTATGTAATTATTTAGTAGTGACTTATTGATCTGAAGTGTTAGCATAAAGACCAGAAATTCCTGTTAAAATGCACGACGCTGCTCTAGCTCTCACAAAAACCAGCAGCAGCTTTTTCCAACGACTCTAAGGGGACCTGGACCAAGCCTCATGACTTGCAGAAAGAAACACTATACATCAAGATTTCTCACAACATCATTTTAAGCTATTGCAACAGCAGAAACTAAATATTCACTCCTGCTGAGTAATGCTCCTTCATTTCTCACCAGTATGTTGCTTTGACTATTACTTTTTATTTTCTGCTTGCTGCTGGAGTAAATTTAGATCAATAACATTTTGGCCACTTCATCAGACAAATAGGTTAATAACAGCTCCTGCAGTTAATTGTGAACAGGTCAGTAGGTTACTAGGTAATTAGTCCAAAGTATCTCAGGATCCAAATCCCTAAAATACTTCTGAGGAACATGGCAGGAAATAATTATAATCGATCTGCATTAATAGCAAGGAAGAGATCTGGTGACAGCTTCCCTTAGCACAAGCCTTCGTTGTTGCAGTGATGTTACAAAGCTAACAGCCTTCGAGATGCAAGGCCTGTATTTGTGACTGCAATTACAAGATCAGCATCACCATCCTCTGTACTGTAAGGGCATCCTCGAGCTAATTCCTTTATAAACGTATTGTAGTCTGGCTGTTTCTGATTTAACACAGAGGATGAGGAAGTAGGGCTAATTAATTTTATTAAAAGCATCTTGAAAAATGCTGTGTGAACATAATGATCATAAACACGCAGACTTATTAAAACCAGCTAAGAGTAATTGTGTGGCTTTCTGTTAGAGGAAAGTTTTGCTCTTAGCAGTATCAAGTGTTTTGACAGCTGTATAAACTTTTGGAGCATGTTTCAGCTGTAGGCAGGCAGAGGGAGAGGGGGACAGATCAGATTTATTCCAAGCAGAAGCAAATCAAACAACACAGCAGTTGTTCCCCCAAAGGTTTCAGTTTGTCTGAAATAAATTGAAGCTCCCCGCATACAAACAACAAAACAGAGCAAATCCAGGTTTCTCAAAGCACGGGCCTTCAGAAAGAAGTCCGTGAAGAGGCTGTCTGCTATTTAAGAATTTAAAACATAGCACAAAACTAACCCCAACATGCGTTACTGATATATCTGGGTAATTAAAAAGACAAACCTAAGCAACACTCACTGCAGAGGTCGAGACCCCTGTGAAACACCTTCCCAATATTTCCTTCTAAGGCAGTAACCAAACCCCACATGTGTATTTGCCAAAGTTAAAAGCTTTTTGCAAAACAAGCAGTAAAATAGACGTAGTTGACAACTCCTACTGGTTTTATCAAGTCATTGCTGTCCCCAAGAATAACTGTGGTTTAAAAACAGAAGAAGAGACCATCAAGCAAATGGAGTGATGGCCTTAGTAAGCTAAGGAACACATCTCTTAAGCAATAGAGGAAACACATCCTCTTGTTTACTTGCAAGATCCTCCTAATGCGATAGCAGCAACAGAGTATGTTACAAGCAGACTTGGAATATTCACTGGACGTGGTCTCTTTAGCCGTTTTGTGCATTATATAACATCATCATACCCCGCTCCACAAATTCCAAAGGACAAACTGTGGTTTCGTGCACTATGTGTGTCAGTGGGTGGGCGTGTGTAAGCGGTGAGAGGAAATCTTTCAGACACCTTGACTAACACACTTAACCCTTACGTACCCTTTCCTAAACAATCCCTAGCCTAGAGCAGATCAGAAAGTTCCTGTTCATCAACAGTGTTCAGAACAAAAGGTCTAGAAATGCATCCCTGGAGTAACAATGCTAATAAAAACTCATTTTTAACTAAGGGAAAAATAAGTACCAAATGAACAAGAACATCTCTAGGTCATAAAAGGGAAAGATCTCGTAAAAGCTAAAGACATCCATGAGAAAACAATGGATACCTCATACACAGGGAACAGTCCAAATCTGATGGATCCACAAATTCAAATGGAATATGTTGTCCAGTACTATTTCCCTTAGTATCAACTGTATCTATCAATAACAAAAAACATATTGTAATGTAATTGAACAGAACTATGTAAACACAATAATATTCCATGTATCTACAAGCAGCATCTGATATTTAAATGTGTATTGTATATACTTACAAGTCACTGAACCATTAAGCATCATTACAATAATTTCTATGCAAAGCATCAAATTCAGCCTTGGCACAAATCAGTGTATTTCCCTTTAATTTTAATGACATTATACCCACTTACAAAGGGTTGAATTTAGCCTTGCATTAACAATTAATGTCAAAACATTTTTTATTAGTGTTGGAAGTCTAAAGTGAGACAAATTCTTCTGTCATACCTTTGTAAATACATCCCACAGCATGAAAACAAGGCCAGCTATCATGAACAAGCAGAATACATGCTTTTAAACAAACTTTTTAAAATTGATCCCAAAAGTGCTAAGACCACATGTGACATGGATGCTCCTTAAAAGATTCAGAATTCTGCTGATAAAGAAGCACTTGACCCAACCTTCTCAGCCCCCTTTTAAGACTAACCTTTTTTTTTTTTCTAACATACATAAAGATTCCACATCAAGCCCTGATCAGGCTTAAGAGAAAATATAAAAGCCAAAGTATAATCTGGACCCTCTTCCTCTAAGTTCTATAAAAGCACGATTTCCACTGATTGCATGCCATGGAACTTATGCCGTGCATAGTGAAACGTACCTTTCTTCATCAGCTTGCAGGGTACCTCTGCATTTCGCATCTCCTCTGAGCAGCACTTCCTTTTCAGGAGGCTGCACTTCTCAGAAAGGAGGAAGGCAGACTCTGGCACGGAGGTGAGTTTGTTCTCTTCCTCTGAGCAGTCCTTTTTGATCTCTGTAATTTGTATAGATTTCCTCAAACTACCAGCAGTAGTTACGTTTGGTTCCTCTTGAATGGGAAAACCCTTTTTCTGTTCCACATTTACCTGTGTGAAGAGAGGATTGACATTACACCAACCTTCCAACAACTTGGTAAGGAAAAAAAAACCCCAACCAAACCCATCACAAGTCTTTAATATTATCACCAGGAAGGACTTTATATGTCAAGAAGCAACAGTTTGAGAATTGCTGTGTCAGGGCCTGATTTTAATGGAGAAAAAAGCAAACTATTTCCCTTCCCACCATCCGTGTCACATCCCCCCTGCCCCAGTCCCACCATGGCACTCAATATTTTCAGCCCCTATGAGTGGCTTCATAGCTTGGTCATGAAACTTGATGCAGGCAGAAATGTGGGTAGATCTCAGGTTAAATATATTGTTATTACTTAATCTAAGGAAAAATGCATATTATTATTTATATCATCATGATGGTATTAGCCATCAAAACAACCAAAACAATGCCAGTTTATTTTAAGGAAGCAGTATAAGCACACACAATTTATAACAGAGAAAATGCACAGAGCTTCCTTTAGTGCGACAGATTCTTTCACAAAGGATAAAATGATCAGCCTTTATCCCGTTATGGCTACAGAACAACCCGTAAGCAGCCAGGACACGGGACATCACCTATCAGCTTGTCACATCAACTCCCCAGATGAACCTGAAAGCAGATACTGTGGATTGTGATCAGGAGCTGTGGTGACGTGTAACATGCAGAAAGATGAGCGAACTGTCCCTCAGATGACTTCACGAAAGGGTCATACAAAAGGATTTCTTGTTAGAATATCCTAATAGCCTTTCCAGAAGGCAATGTCACTGACTGTTCTTAACAAGGCTGTTCAAAACCTACCATTTTTGTTTGTAAGGACTAATGAAGTTTTCTCCGACATGTACAGTCTATGTAAAACCTATCCTCAAAGTTCAGGCTGCAGCGAAGCAGAAGTGGTCCTTGCAAACCCGTGAACGTAAACCTCCACAGCCACTTACAAAACTAGGGCTGTGAAACCAAACTTATGGAGTAGCCAATATATCTTACGTGGCTCTACAATAACCTCTAAGCTGTGTACAGGATCTGAATGCGGGATGATTTTGTCACTGACATCATCAGTTACAGCTCAAGCTGAAACCCTAGATTTTAGTATTTCACAGCTTTTAAGGGTAACTAATGCAATCTTCAGAGGCCCTTTCCCACTACCAGCTACTTGGAAGAGCTAAAGACAGTTACAGGAATAGAACCCACTCAATTCTGGCATAAAACTTATCAGAACAACAACAGAGGACTTCTATTAAAGGAAAAGAAGTTGGATAAAGAGACTTTAAGTCACCATTGGTTTGTATCTGCTGAAACTCAGTAAAAATCTCAGAAAATGTACCCTCCTGTCTCCCAGAGGTGAAAAGGAGAGAAGGCTTCCCAATGTGAACATAAAACACACAACAAATTAAGAACCACACATCAGACTTGATCTTTACCTTGAGCAACCTCTGTAGGTTATGGCTGGTGCCTCCAGATCCCACTGAATTTAGGAGATTCCCCTTTAATCTAGAGTGATGTGACAACAGCTGCAGGATATCGGGTAAGTGTTCCTGAGCATTTCCCGGGATGAGTGAAAACAAACTAAGTAGAAGCTGTGATATAAAACAGAATACTTCACTGCTTAGTTCCTTCCTTGCAACCTCTAAATGAAAAAGCAAGTAAGGGAATAGCTGAAAGAAGCATCTTTGATTTTGTTAAAACCATTTAAAGAGCCCTTCAAACTAGGGTAAGAACAAAAAGAAATGCAAGAGCTAATGCAATATAGGCCAAACAGACAGCAAGAGACATTTTCAGAGTTAAATCAGCCCATAAAGTTATTAACCGTTCTCTGATGTGACACACACATGCCTTTGTTCTCTTTGTCCTGCACTTCAGAGCTCACCAGAAGTTACTAACATCTTTCTCACATATGTTTTTTGCTGCACATCAGAAGCTTTCATTGGAGTTTACTACTACAGAAAGCACTCATCTCACAGGCTTAATCCAAGTTAAGTAAATGTCTCTGATATTGTGAACTGTAGCGATTTTTAATTCACTTATGTGAGAATACAAAAAAATGTAGGTAGTAGAAAAACGCTATTTCTTCATTTGCTATCAGAAAATAAATGAATCTGTTTCAAGTAGCAGCTTGTAGCTACTTGTACGGCATAGCTTATCAGGTGATTATTTAAGGAAAGAAACAGAGCTGAATGGAAGATTCACACTTCAAAAACTAATTTCAACGTACTACTGAGGTGATCCTGCTGATGCTTGATGAAGCCACATGACAGCTAAAATTTCTTTTTAAAGCCAAAAAGATTCCACAGGATCACACTATGTCAAAACTAATGTGGACAGACAATTAATACAAGCAGAACATCACAGCTGCACCCAAAGGATTTGGTAAAATGTAGTATGTCATTGTTATGCAAACAGCCTTGGAAATGACCCAGTAGAATCATCATGGATGAACTCTGTGTCTGATGAGTGCATGAGTAATTCTTTCAGTCATGAGAAGCCTAGTTTTTCTCAGAACCCCACTGCTCAGAAATTAGGTGTCTTGGATAAGGCTATTTGGAGTCAGAATTTAGAAACACATCCATTTGTTCCTGCTCTTTTTGCTCTAGTGCACAGGAAGTCTCCCAGCATGACTATGAGAACAAATAATGACACAATGACAGTGAAAGGCTGCATGGAACCCACTGGAGAAAAAACCAATCACCTAAAACCCCCAAATACCAGTGACAAAAAACTCACAGGAGATGGAAATCTCAACCATATACAAAGTGAGATAAAAATTTGATTGCACTACAGCCATCCAGGTTGTAGTCTCTCAGTTATAGTCATGAACAGTGCTTTACTGTAAGCATTCTGCTGTGCTTTTAGAAAGCCTTACATATTACAGCACACACAAACTCCAAAGTTCCCATCCTGCCACTGATAAAGAAAAGCACAAATGCACTGCCATAAAAGAAAATTCACTACAAGGAAAACAGAACTATTACATTTTTATTACCATAAGCTATCACTGCGATGCGGAGCCTTTTAGCTACGACAACAACAAAAAAAATGGTCAAGTATCAAAACACTCACTGATTCACAGGAAATCAGATTTGAGGGGTGTGTAAAACAGAGCAGTCTTCAGAAAAGCCATTTTAAGAATCCACACACCACACGTTAGGCTGCTACTGAAAAAAGCCTCACTGCAGATCCATTTGGTCGCTTATTTAGCATTAATTATCAGCAACCTTTAAAAACGATTTTAGAACAGCTCTTCTTTTGTTGACTGCTTCCTTTCACGCCTCCTTCACACACTATACTCCACACAGCACAACTGGCGGTAGGAAGAGAGCTGCTGCTCCCAAGTGGAGTCTGACGGGTGCTGCGTGTTGCCTTCTGCCAGTCAATGGCCTGATACAACACTCAACAGCAACTCCCCCTCTTCTGCACTCTGTCATTGGTAACACATCGCCAAGCTAGGAAACAGATTAGAAATTTGACTGTAAAGAATCACAATAGTCTGGGGGTGGCAATTATTAACAATTCAGCTTTACTTCAAATTTGCTGATGCTAACACCATGAGTAACTGTTTCCACATAGCGCCTGCTGAGCATGTTTTCTTGCTACCTCCCTATCGTCACGTAAGCAACACACATAAATCAAATTTGAACAACAGTCTGGATAGGAGTCTCCATCCAGCTCTTTGCAGTAACGAGAGAGAGGGGAAAAGAGAAGAAAAATTCTTATCCTCCTTAAGAAAGGCCACTGAAAACAATACTGCAGTTCCAGATGATTTAGGGAACTCACCTTTTGTGCCTCAGACTTGGCTGTCTTGTTCCCCGTATCTAGAGCAAGGCAGAAGAGAAATTCTCTTAAAGCTTCTTCTGTTTTCCCCAGATTAGCTAATGCTTGTCCTTTCCTTAGGTGACCCTGCAATGAAACAGAACCATAGTTGCAGCTTTTGTTCTTTTGTCATGAGAATATGCAATAAAAACAATGAAATTACAAAAGATCTTTCTGGAGAAGAAAAAGTTAGGCGGGGAGAATCACTCTAACTGTCTCTTATACCACCGGTGCCTGGATTTGTAACCACAAGGCTCCTGAAAACTTACAGGCAGAACTGGGATATTCTCTAACTCAAGCCAGTATGATTCTCACATCACCTGAGCCCAACAGATCTTGAAGAAATCTACCTCCCCTACATTAATCAACTAAACCAGTCATTAGGTCCTTATAGGATGACAGAAGCAGAGCATTCAGTTTTTAGAGAGAGTTCATGAACCGGAGATTCATCCAGGTCAACGACAATAGCGTTAGCTCATCCCCCAGGATTATCGCTCTCTTCCTTCACCCCAGGAACCTCAAGAATATCATAGTTAAATGCCTGTAAGTCACAGGAGTCCAAGAAATTACAGGACTTGAATCCTCCCTCAGATTCAGCTGTCTGACCATTCTAACGGTTTTCTGTCAGGGTAGCGTCAGGGTCTTAAAGTACAGCCGGAGTCAGAACTTACTTTCAACCAGTACGGCTGGAGTTTGCAGGCTGTTTCTGCGTCATGCAACGCATCTTCACAAGCTTTCAAAGTAGAGTTTATCTGGGACCGGTTGCTGTAGAGTAAGTGGTCATTTGGAGCTGTAGGAAACAGAAAAAATGGTTGTTTGAAGTAAATTAAAAGTTAGTTACATAAGCTTTAGTCCCTAATTTTTTTAAAAAAATAAACACACCTTGGTGCTTCCAAGTTGTACAAACCCAGAAAATATGCAGTTTTAAAATAATTACGTGCTAAATAAAATCTGGAAGCCTCTTTGGGCAACTCCAGACAAAACGTCAGCTGCGTATTATATAACGGGAGGGAACATTGCATAAATAAATGCAGAGATGCTCACACAAATTACCGCTCTGACTGAGGATCAGTTGGTCGACAGAAACATACAGGAGACACTGAAGGCGGCAAGAGGAATGCTGTCGTACCGTAGGGAGGAGTTTCAAAATTTTTAGCATCAAAGTTTTTAAATGATACGTAAGGCTCTTTTCGTGCCATAGCTCAACACAGGAAAACAAGCGACAACTCCCAAGAACCAGACAACGCCACAGCAGCGCAGGAAAAGTGATCTCCTAGTTACACACAGGGCCTGTGGTAGCATCAGGACGTAACGTGCGCTGGATTAAGGCTGTACGCTTCGTTTGGAATACTCCTCCGTTTAAATGAAACTCTCACCCCTGACACCTTGCCTTTAATTTCCTCTTACTGCGCGCAGCCTTAGCTGCTTTTCCTCACACCCGATTAAAACGGCCCCGCATCACAACTTTTCCCCGCACAAGCCCTGTTTCCAG